ATCGTGGGTGATGCCTGAGGTGCACCAGAATGTGTCACACCCGATCAAATCCACGTGCTCATCATGGTACAACAGCCTACAAAACAAAAAGATGGAACTGGGGACTTCTGGATGATGCTAGGGCACCAGCTCGTTATCCTTGCAAATGGGTAGAAACAAGCATTTATCTAGACTTTGGTAATTAAACTGTATCACTGAGTAAACAAACAGTTCTAACAAAGAGACCACCTGTCTCTTTATAAACGTGCTCTAGCTAATAAAGAAGGACTGAGGAGGATTGGAAGGTTGCCGTTTTGAATTACTATCACCGTGTCAGGGCAGTGGTCTCAGTGACAGTAATACCCCATGGACGGCAGCAGTCATGTTATACCTCATGATGAATTTACACGGTATCACTTGTGATAGACAACCACAATCTGACCAAGCTTCCAGACTTAACTACCAATTCACAAGATGTTCAGGAGACTGAGAAAACATGTTACATTATGCCAAGAAGATGCAACAGCAAAATCTAGACTGAGGGGTTCTCCAGGCAAATGACCCAGTTTCTTATACAAATTTCCAGGGGAAAGGCAAGATAAGTGAGGAACTGGCAGATTCAGTTTTGATTCTCATGTTTACTCATAATAAAACCAGGGTTAGTTATGATCCTCAGTTTCAAATATCCAGTAGGGGGTCTTGGAACTCATGTCTCTCATGGAAAAGGGGGTCTACTGTAGTAGGAATCACACAATATGTAGCCTTTTTAGATGGACTTCTTTGGCTTCACTGTATGTATTTAAGGTTTTTTCATGTATTTTTGTGGCTTGATAACTCATTTCTTTGTATCAGTGAACAATATTTCATTGTCTGTATATACCACAGCTTGTGTCTTGATTCACCTACCAAAGGACTTTCTGATTGCTTCTAAGTTTTGGCAATTATAAATAAACCTGTAATCATTTGTGTGCAAGCTCTTGAGTAGATAGGAGTTTTCAATTCATTTGGGTCAATACCAAGGAGTATGATGCTGAATCATATGGTAGGAGTGTGTTTAGTTTTGCAGGATCCCACCCAAACCGTCTCCCGAAGTGGCTGTACCATCTTGCATTCCTACCAGCAGTGAATGCAGGTGCCCGTTGCTCCACATCCCCTCAGCATTTTGTGTTGTCAGAGTTGTGGATTGTAGCTGTTGGTAGGTGTGAGGGCAGGATCGCATTGTTGTTTTACTTTGTAATTTCGCTGATGACATGTTATGTGGACCACATTTTTGTATGCTGATTTGCCATCTGTATGTCTTTTCTGGTCAGATGGCAGTTCAGATATTGTGCCCATTTTTTAATTGTGTTCGTATTAGTGAGTTTTAAGAGTTCTTTATATATCTTTGCAAAATATTTTCTCCCAGTTTGTGGCTTATCTTTTCTTTCTCTATGATCTCTTTTGGCAAATTTCTCCTAATATCCAGGAATTTAATGAATCAATTTGGAAATTTTTAAATTAAAGAAAAAATGTAAATAAGAATGAAATTTGTTTAAATTGCTTGAGAATGTGCCATTCTTGGTACATTTCCTTTAAAGCCTTCCCATGATGGGCTGTAATATCCCTATTTACTCTATCAGAATCAGCAATGAAATTTGCCGGGTGAAATTTCAGGAAGAAGGTAGGTCACCTTTGTTTTGTTACTCTCAGAAAGTAAAATCAACTTTCCTGGATACTATCAGAGAGCATAATATACATAAACTGTCAATGCCTTTGAGTCACAGATGAGTTAACTCAGGAGAAACTACAAGACTAAAAACTTAGACTAAAGACTAAGAACTCTGATTAGGTAAATGACCCACTAGTTTAGATTAGCTCTTTTATTTATTTTTTTTAACTTTACTCGCTTCTTGACTCATAGTGGCTCTATCTAACCACACCCTATGACAGCATGTGCTTAGATTTGCTCACTTGTCTTTGGGAGCCATAACAGCTAACACAATTCCTCCAAAATTTCCAGTCTGTTGAACATTATTCACATGTTAAAGTTCTCACCTACGCATATACGCAGATGTCAACATGTAGAAATACTTGACTTGACAAGTTGAATAACGTGCTAGAAAAAACCCATCTAAGTTAAAAAAATCAGGAGTGTTTTAGAGTTGTTTGAGATTGCAGAGGCGAATTCAGTCCTGGGCTAGAAAGTAGGTTTCATGTCCGGTCCCACCTCTGTCCATTGGCAGTGTCTTTCTCATCGTGAAGCGGTCTGGGCACTACGGGAGAGAGGCCTTCCATCCGTCAGAAGTTTGCTGTAAGCAAAGGGAAGCTCAGGAATGGCCTTAAGCCCATAATCTCCTTGCTCAGTAGTCTTACATCCTCACTCAAGGGTGAAACAAGAGACCCAAATAATTTAAAAGCCTTTTCCCGGCTAGCTGGTGGTGTGCTGATATCTAGAAGGTAGGAATTTACTTGTTTCCATTCCATATAACCATCTACAGTTGCTTCGAGACAACTGGTCCCAGCTCGTAGGGCCGAAAAAAAATCTCTATTGTGTACTATGTCTTAAAAACAAGATTTAAAATATTCAGTAAGAAATGGTATAGTCTGTTCAAGAGAAAGATAGGAGTCTTTAATAGAAATCAAATTGCAAGAAGCCGTGAAAGAGGGAGCCAATTAGCGTAACAGTCTGTGCTTGAACTAACCCACACCACCGAATAGGCAAAAGGAAGGACAGAGCAGCCAGAAGATGGCTTATTTTTCAACAACCAGGACACCTGCAGCCTACTTAGGGAGAAGGCACCGCTACGCCTGGCTCCCCTACTCCCCGCATTGAGGCTGCTGTGGTCTGCCAGAGGGTATAAGAAACAGAGTGACTTGAAACTTTGTTGAGAAAAGTTTTTGTATTTGCATTTGTTTTGGGGTTTTTTTATTCATTGAGAAAATATTTGGGCAGACACTGATGTGTATTTTTGTGTGTCATGTATGTGTACATAAATAATAACTAACTGAGGTCATTAGGTAATAAGCAGGCAATTGGGATCTTAAAAAAGAACAGGACTTGTTAATTCTAAAGTGGCTTCATCATGTCACCAGGAGTTGACTCTACATTAGTTACTCTGCCATTTGTCAGCCACCAGGCTGTAATAATTGCTGACATTTATGGAATACCTGTTATGTGCCACCACTGGACCAAATTCGAATGCATTATTTTATCTTAATGTCAGCCGTTCCAAAGAAATAGGGTAGTATAAGCAGAGGTTCACACAGCTGCGAGAGACATACGTTCTAAAGACACTACCCAGAGCATTGCATAAGACACCACTCTGATTCACCACCTTTGAACCTCTGTTCTTATCTGGTATTATTATTACATTGACAGTACTACTAGAAGCATCTGAAGAACCAGGTTTTTGTGAGAAGTTTTATAGTTTATCAAGCATTATTCAGAAATAATATACTGTTATTAAAAATAAAGATTTCAACCAGGGAGCAGGCATTTCATTGTCGTAATATTTATCATAGACAATAAGCAATGTTATTATGTAGTTTACTAACAGGTGATTTATTTGCATCCTTTATAGAACTGTTTTTTCCAAATACATCACTGATTATTTAGCTAGCCACAATTTAGACTTGACTTTTCTATCATAAATTTACCTTTTTTCCTAAATAGTCATGCTTGAGGAGACTGAGTAATTACTTCCAACATAATTATGGCTGCACAGTAATGCACCACTACAGGTCTTTTGAATGCTTAGGCTTGGACGGTTTATCAATTTTCATATTTCTCATTGTTACTGCATTAAATCTTAAAGACAAATAAGCTTAAAGTATTAGATGTAAACTATCAGTGCCATACGAACAAAAAGTAGTTGAGCGTATTTGTTGCATGTTAATTACTCTCAGACTCCAGCTATGTTTAAAGACCTTTGGAAAGATTAGATGAAAAATCATAGTACAGGGCAGCATCTGTGGCACAAGGAGCAGGGTACCAGCCCCATATACCAGAGGTGGCAGGTTCAATCCTGGCCCCGACCAAAAACTGCAACAACAACAACAAAAACATAGTATAGCACAGTAAATTAAGGTGAAGAAATTTTCCTCCCAAATAACAATCTTCTTCCTTTTTCCACATG